TTTTTTTTTTTTTTTTTTTTTTTTTTTTTTTTAATTTGTTCCTCATTCTGCATACATATACCTTACACATATGCATACAGATTGAACCTGCAGCTGTAGCCACGTGTCCACCTAGGGAGCACTTAATCGTTGCGCTCCGTACCTCGTAGATTACTGAGCTTGCTCCTCTCTAACGAATCACTCTAGATGTGGGTCAACCTCCTTCGTAGCGAGACAGATCGACCGGCTAACCTTTCTAATTTCATTCCCCTATCTCCATTCATGTTCCAAAAATTCTCTAGTCGACTCCTGTATTTAATTATTCCGACTCCCGCGTCTTCCCGACTCGGCAGTGCTTTCGTCCTTGCATACCAATATAACCTACAGCGCCATATTGTTTTCCCTATTTCTCCAATACGCCTATTATATTTAAGGTATTTTCACTTTTTCGGTGCATTATTGATGGGATCATATTTATGAGCAAGTGAGTGGGCGTGAGATTAAGAGGGTGACTGGCTCTCTCCCTCTCTCTCACTCGTTTTCCTACCGTCTCTCTGCATCCCACTCCCCCCTCCCGTCAAAGAGGGCAGGAACGTCGTTCCTCACGTAAAACTTCCTACGAAACTCCACGCAACAGGTACCTTCGGCTCTACCTTGAAGTTTTATTCGAAAGTTGGTTCGCGTGCGAGTGAGCGTCGATTCTCAGTGAGCCGGGTTCAGTCATGGGGGTCACAGTACGGGAGGGGGTAGAAATAACAACCCCGTAAAGGATATCGCGTCTCTTGAGAAGGGTGAATGGAATGCGCCCCCCTCCCCTCAATACCGTACATACCATAATATGCCACATGGCAGATGGTGTATGGCGGCATGCGCGTACAATATGCGAATATCCAGACTTTCAGTGCCGGAGAGAAGAAACCGTGGAAATTGTGGAAATCCGTGAAATTCTAGAGGAACGTGAATTGTGATGCTCGTCGTAGAAATTCGCTGATCGACCTCGTTAAGGTAACTTCGCAGAGCGACCGCCATTGCACGACGTTCCTCCTCGGGATTGCGACTCTCCGCCGGAATGAAACCTAATTACAAACCATAAAACATCACTGGAAGGTTTACCGGTCGCGTTTACACCAGGGAAGTCCTGCTTGCCACAGAGAGTCTTCCGCGAGGTTAAACCTCCAGGATCGTAAACCCGGCTCACGGAGAACAACCTCTTTGGCCTTAGACTCCGATATCGTGACCGAGTCCTTAGAGTCTCCCGTGTCCATTCGTAGCTCCTGCCCAACGTCAAGAGCCAAATCTCGAGATCAACCCCGTTGACCCTTAACCGGTCCCGTCTCCCGGACCTCCTGAAAATGATCCTGTTAACCCGCAAGCACATATTGGCACTGAGATAACCTAGGAGAGTGCCAGTCGCGACTAAGCCAACCCTATCTTAATTCCAGCAAACGCAAAGCCGCTGACGTTCGACGAGGTCTACAACCAGAGCAGCCCCACAAACTGCACCGTCTACTGCGGCGGGCTGACCAATGGCCTCACGGAGGAGCTCATGCAGAAGACGTTCTCACCCTTCGGATCCATCCAGGAGATACGCGTCTTCAAGGACAAGGGTTACGCGTTCATTAGGTGAGTCACACTGCGGCCCACTTTGAGTTCTCCTGAGGTCTCTTTAACAAGAGGACCTCCTACCGCAATGCTTCCAATGGCCGTCGAGGAAAACGTGAACGTCACTTCCGCACTTTGAGAGAGAGGGAATGAGGTTGACTCTCGATAGTACTGTAGTCCTGGTACTAGTATCGGTAGCAGTGTTGGTAAGGAGAAATGGAGGTTCGTGGCAGCTAGAGAGAAGGAGAAAGAGAGAGAGAGAGAGGTAGAGGATCTTCCTTTTTATCTGAGAAAAAGAAGAATTCCTCTATTCGGCTTTCTGCCCCCGTTCTCGAGGTTCGGCGTCCTCGCTCTATCCCTGGCGACGACCCTCAGGGCCACCCTCGCCGAGCTGTGGACAATGTCCGTCGTTCAACTATCTTCCGTCTAATTGCTCCGCTCCATTCTTCCGCCACGCTGCCCGGAAACGAACGTCCTGGAAGGATGACGAATGACTGGTGGAACCGAGAAGACCTGTTTCTTTCTTCTTTTCGAATGAAACTACTAGAGAGTTCAAAGATTCTCTCGTTACATAGAGACATGTATATATATAGGCTATACTTATATGTAAATACACATATGTTTCCGAGAAAAGGAGATGAAATATTATATACTATACAGTTATTTACTCGGGTAGACTGGTGCTTATCGGTCAAGGAAAATGGACATTGTTCAAAGCTGAGTAATGAATCCTTCGGCTTCCAGACGAAGTCATCCGAGGACTCCCGAAGCTGTCGTAAATCCTTAACGGAATTGCCGGGTACGTGACGCCCGGGCGACACGCTGCATCGCTCTCCATTCAGTGATCCTTGGAAATTAATAGACCGTGTCGTGAACCTCGAAAGGGTCGGATTTAGATCAGCTATTCGAGTAGGGTGCTGGAGTGTACCATTATCTAGGAAGATTGAAAATGGGAAGTTTGGAGAAAAAATATGTCCAGCCAGGATTCCTTTGAGAAAAAATTCAATGTCCCTCAATGCAGTACTTACGGAATATTGTAGAAGAACAGTTTCTGATTAGAGTATCTGCTATCCGGCGGACCCATAGAGCTGTCGTAGGTCTATTGAGGAATTGGACTGGGGTGTGTGTGCGCGTCACTCACAAAAGGCCGGAAGTGACACACACGTGTTTGCTGGCTGGAGAAAAAAGTTAAGGATGAGTTCGGGTAGTTCCCGCTCGTACGTGTAATCCTGTACTAAGGATGCACGGAAATTAAACCCTCCCAACTTCAGCCAAACCCACCTTGGCACTGTCGTGCCTGTCGCAAGCGTCAACTTTTTCGCTTGAAGCTCATGTGCTTCAGGGATGACGCAAATAGTTCAATGTTTATTAAATACCGAAAGGATCAGCCTTAGACACAGCGGCGGGTCGTTTGAAAAATATTTTGACTCAGTCAAAGCTAATTGGTACACGGGAAATACATATTTACCGTATAGTCATATGTGAATCCGGGATTCATTGGATAACGTGCGTGTACGTAATATAGTCGGTGTGCACGGAGCTTTACGTATGGGGAAGGAACGTAATGGTACTCGTGACTAGATCGAATTACTCGCTCTCCAGGGAAGTTTGCATATTTTTCCAAGCGGCGTCCCGACGTTCCATCATCCCTGGTCCATAGTTTTAATTAGCCAAGTCTAATATTTGTCCGCCACAATTCTGTCAACGCAAGTCCACCAACTTGTCACTTATCCACGTTAATAGTTAATATTTTTAGCAATGACCTGTCCGCTGAAAGTTTTTATTCTGCCGAATTACCCCTCCCTCCCCTCGCGCCTTCTCGTTTCTTTTCGTTTTTCACGAATTCTCATATTTCGCTGCGGATCCGAGTGCTGCCCTATAAAAATAGAAAGGAGCTGTAGAACCTTTGTAGAGACCTGGAAAACTTGATCATTACGAGAATCTCTCCGATTTCCCAGGCTCGTCAAAACTGCCGTATGAGGAGTTGCGTATGTATATATATATGCTGAAGGATATACGTATAGATAGAGCGACACGAAGAAAGACTGAGAACTTTAGTGGGAATTGCCAACCTAGCAAATTGCGATTTATTTCTTGAACGAGAGGCTCGACCGGTAATGTAACGAGCTTTCCCTTTTTTCTTTTTACAACCCAGCAGGAGAGTGGCTTCTTCCGCGATAATATAAACATTTTATTAACTCTCAACTCGAGGTAGCAAGCGTGTGCAGTCGAGATTACCTTGATAATGTCGCGAAGAACGACGTGTTTATGTCGAAGGCCTTCCAGGGCGATAGCAAAGCGAAAAGGGAGTAAAATGGAATACGCGAGATAACTCAGATGTATTTTGCGAACAGACAGAAATTCGAATCCTGGAAAAATAGGACGAGCAACTGTGTGTCCCGAAATATATCAAACTATTTTCATACGATTATGTATAGTATACAGTCATGACAGCGACATCTAAAGCTTTCATGTAGAAGCATAACCTTAACTAACCAAGATGACCAAGATAGCTATGAAAGAGGAAACTCAGAAAGGCGGCTGCTATCGTTACTTATTTGCAATTTATGGAAATCCTATAGATTTTCCCTGATTTACACGATTATCAAGTTTGGTTCACCGGTGGCTGGTTCACCCTTGCGCCTAAGGGTTCACGATAAACTTGTGTACATTAGGGCGCGGCAGTCGTAGAGAAGCCGTTGTAAACTGGAGTACAAGGTTCAGGCTTTTATGTTCTAAGAAGATGGAGAAAGGAGCAACAAAATGTAAAAGGAAGCGAGAGCTCAGCATTTTTTCTTAACCGTTAAAGATTTTTCTAACGGCAGCATTTTTGTTCTCTGCCCTCGCAGGTTTTCAACTAAGGAATCCGCCACGCACGCTATAGTTGCTGTGCACAACACGGACATCAACGGTCAGACAGTGAAGTGTAGCTGGGGAAAGGAAAGCGGAGATCCTAACAACGCCCAGCAGACGGGACAGGTAAATTTCATGAGAATTTTTATGGGGAAGAAAAAAACATTCATCAGTGAAATTATTGAAAATACATTTTCACTTGCATCGGAAGTCGATGATTTACCCAGTATAGATATTAACGTCGTGTTAAAAGAGACTCTCAGTATTCTCAAGGTACAAGAGAATCAAGAATACAAGGCACTGAGAATCTCTCTATTTAGAATATGCATGTATCTCTATGTACTATATTGTATATGTGTATGTATAATAACGCTCCTTATAGATCTCGTCATAGTAAGGGATGGCTAAAGGGGTGGTTAAAGGGAGGTTATGAGAGTTTCGGTGCCAGAATCGACTAGATCCTGGGGGCGCTGGGAGGGACGGTGAGAATCGGGCAAGATTCCACTCTATTCAGGATCCTCTCTGTTGCTGGCGTGGTATAGTGCGGTGTATGGGGTCTCTTAGCAATTAGCACCGTTAGGACCAGTAGCTACGTCCGATCGGGGAATAGAACGTTGGTACCCGTCCTGAGCTCCTTCCGCCCATCCATCCGCTGTTACTCGGCCCGTGACATCGCTCTAATTGATCCCTATTCCCATAACGCACCTACACCAACTCCGCTGTCCCTCTTTCTCTCTGTACCTACCCCTGCCCCAATCCCTGCCAGCTGGTTCTTCATGCCGAACTCGTGTCCCGGGACTTGGTTCATTCCGTTCCCCATATTCTAGTTAATTCAAGTATCAAGATCTTTCATAAGGATTGCACAAAAAAATGTGTGTGGGTGTATGGTTAGACAGTGTATTTATGGAGAATAAATTTTCCAGGCTCTGTCTTCGGCGACGTACCCGTACTACGCGGCAGCTGCCGCTGCCGCTGCGGCGGCGGCCGGCGTCGCGGGCGTCGGTGGAGTTGGAGGCGTCGGAGGCGCCGGACAGCTCGGCTACTGGTACCCACCACAATCTTATCCTACGACGGCAACGCAGATGCAGGCTGGTGGATTTCTGCAAGGGATGCAAGGATACACCTATGGACAGTTTGCTGGGTATCAGCAAGCTCAGTATATGGGGTGCGTATCTGAGCGCGGATTTTACATAGTAAACATGAATTGTGGGTCTGGTTGATACGAATGATAATGGAGTTTGTTCCGAGACAGGATGGGAATGGGAGTTCATGCGGCAGGAACGGCTGCTGGATGGGGACAGGGTTTACCTGGAGGACCTCAGCTACCCCCTCACCATGCCACAACGGTGACGGCACCCCCGGGGGTGCAGGCTGCACCACCGCCACCCCCGCCACCAGCGCAAATGATGGCTTACCCCATGCAACAGTTCCAGGTAATCCTCACTTCTCCGAAACCCACCTCATCCCCGTGTGCGTGTTCCAGTCGGGCTTCCTAGTGCACGCTGCACGACGCCGCACGCGATTCTTTCTTGTCTCGAGACTCTCTCTCGGTCTCGATCTCCCGAGAGTCCGCGATCGGCGACTCCCCTCACACGTTTCATCTGGCTTCACCATCAGAGTCATCTCAATTCTTCTCCTATCTGCATCCGACTCTCACTTCTCTCACTTCTGCATCACTTTATTAAGCATGACGATCGCTCTTCCTGATCTCCCGAACCCCTGGAACGTCCTCGTCCTTTCTCCAGAGAGTTCCTGATCGGCTCCCTGGTGAAAGCACGATTTCAGTTTCCTGCACCTTCTCGTTGATCGGTTACCCAACCGAATGGTTCGTCCTAGATCTTCTGAGCTGAGTCATAAAAAGAGACAAAGAGAAATAAGAAAGAAAAAGACATACGTAAGATAGTGATCGAAAGATATAAAATTCTTTCGTTGATAAGACCAGTACTTTGAAACGTGAAATCCAGGACGATCCTTGCGGGATATGGTAACGGAGATCTTATGTAGGTGCGTTCCTTATTTACGTGTTTGGGTTCGCAGGCACAGTGATCGCTACCACTACCAGCACGGCCCCGCTTGTCATTTCTTTCGAATATCAATTAGCAGAGAAAGCTGTATCACTGTCCCAGTTCAGTCTCGAACTCTAGTCTGTACGTAGGTGAACGTTGCTGTAAATAAATACCGTTTTGTAAGCGTGACTGAGAGAGAGAGAGAGAGAGAGAGAGAGAGAGAGAGAGAGAGAGAGAGAGAGAAAGGGAGAGAAAGTTCGAAGGACGAATGAGATTGAAGCGCCGAGAGGGCGAAAGGTCTGAAGGGCGAAAGAGACGGGAAGAGATGGGGAAGAGATGGTGCGTGAATGAGCGTGTGCGTGTACGGAGAGGCTGAAAAGATGGCTGAGAGTCGATTCGAGATTCGTCTCGAGCGGCTCTCGGCGAATCGCAGTTACGAGACCGTCGGAGCCATCGATCGTCGTCGTGGTGCGCGGCTGGCATGGGATATATTCCTAGAGGGTGGCTCGTGAGTGGTGAACCAGAGGGGTGGTCGGATTTGCGATCTATCGCGTTACTCCGTTAAGCGGGCTGAAAGGCATCGCGAGTGCACATTATTCCCTGGGATTTCCGACGGCTAGGAGAAAAATCAAAATCACGTCCTCGACCTCGCGACTTCAGCGGCGCCATAAGCCACCCTCCGAAGAGTCACCCTCCGCCGTAACGCGGCCCGAGTAATACAGACTTGGTGCCTCGACGGCTCCGACGCTCCAACTACTGGGGGGAGCCTACATCACCGGGCTTTAACGTAGCTGCTAATTCGGCCGGGAGTCCAATATCACTGACTCTCCCCCGGAGAGAAAGATAAAGAGAGAGAATGAGAAGGAGAGAATGAGTCTGATTGCGAGTGTGAGAGAGCCTAGATATTTCTCCTAGAAATTCGGACAGCAAACTTAACCAGCGTTTGTGTGTTCAAATGGTAAAGTGTGTTCTTGGTTGCGGTCCAGCTAGCGGATGAGGACTGGCTGACGCCTAGCCTCCTAGTGTGATGGTAAGCAAGTAGACCCCACCGACAGCAACTACAACCACCACCACCACCACCACAACAAGTACTACTACTACTACTATTACTACTTCTACTACAACTACTACAGTAACAACCACAACCTACACCACCACCACCACCACCACCATCACCACCGCCATCACCGCCACCGCCACCGCGACAACAAGAACAGCGAACCTGCCACTACTGGCCTGACGATACTCGAGTACAACCCGAGTCATATAAAGAAAAGTCCCGCTTATGAAAATCGGCCACTGTCGATAGCTAGGTGGGATCCCTTACCCTGCGACCTGCCACAATCCTTATCCTTTCCGTAATCACCACCACCGCCACCCCTACCCCCGCAGCCAATATAAAAAGTAATAGCATTAAAATGTTAAACACAAAAGTGCAAGCGCGCTCTGATTGCCCAAGTATTCTCGGGGTTACTCCCTCCGTGGATAAGATCCTCTCTGAAGATTATGGAACGGGAGTCCAGGGAAGCGCCCGGAGGACCTCTAGGCGATGTGTAAATCTGCGAAATTGTCACGATATCGCACGGCAACTTCTCTCCCGTATCTCGCCGGGCACTCTCTTTTTAACCAAAGTACACATACGTTATTTGTGATGATATTATAACTATTTAATGGAGTTAAATACCAAAGGAGGTGTCTCGCATTCTCACACGCAGCCAGAGAAGATAGAGCATCGCACGTCGCATCCAGGCGATGCGACTGACAGTGAAAACAGCCCGTTTATAGTCAGACTGCCTCAGCTTCCTCCGGAGTTCTCTCTTTAGGCCGGATCTTCATGAGAGCGACAAGATATACATACCTACATAAGGCCGCATGAAGAACGACCAGGTCCAGAGAGGTCACACGGAGAGACAGTATTCTCTCCGTTATTTTTGTAGTTGACGTACCGACGACGTCGTGTCGACGTTCGCTTAGGCGTCGGGACGCGTGACGCTTCGTGGAAGGAGACGCAGTCTGACTATTGGGCTCTAATCGGGGCATAATTGCAAACTGTATAAATAATAAAGAGATTAATGAGAAGTAGAGGGGTTCCGTGAGTGGAAGAGAGATGCTAATTAAGTAAAGACAGAAAGTGTGTATTTGGAAAGCAACATAGCTAGTTAGTTAGGTATATTATAATATGAAAACTACTGTGGCGAGCCGAAATTCGGCGGAGAGGGGCCCGAGGGCGAGAGAGACAGAGTGCGTGGACGCGTGTGTGTGTGCACGTGTGTGTGTGTGTATGTGTGTGAGAGAGAGAGAGAGAATATGAAAATGTTAAGGATAACTAATGAAACGAATTACGCGACAGGATGAATTCTATCGAAGAACGACGACTACGAAAATGGGGTGATTTGTGTGACGACGAGGATCTTTCTAAAAAGAGGAGCGCTTATCGGCCAGATAATGTTATCTTATCATTAGAGAGTACGTGATCGATTTGATCCTCCCGGAAGAGCCTGGATAATCGAGCCGCATAATGGGCGGATGTTAGGAAATTTTGTATCGAGAGTTAGGGCAAAATCGGGCACCGTGTGTCCCACAGTTAACCGTAATACTTTGGACAGTAGTTAATCGGAGGCGCAAGACCAGCTCCTCGGATATTTTTATAACGCGTTAAGCGGGTGACACGGGGTCACCGGCGTGTAACCCTGAACTCTATTCGCAATAAAAACCACGCAAGGAAACGTCGGAGTCATAAGACGACCACAGCAGAGGCCACAAATATCCTTCTTCCCCAGACTTGGACGTTGATCGCGATTCGAGGCGCACCGACATTTTTAACCAAAGATTAGATTTTTTATATATTATATCGAACGGCAAGCGGGAGAGTTAAGCGTTAAGCGTTAAGTAGTAAATCGTTAAGCTTAGATCAAAGTTGAGAAATGATGCTGGCGATCAATGGAGAAAAGGGAGGATAAACGTCAGAGAGGGCCCAAGAAGCTGATAACGAATAAAGAGAAGAGAGGAAAGAAGAAGGAGAGATTCTCAGAATTTCTTCTTGTGTCAAATATTATATGTGTGTGTGTGTATAGGAATATATACGTAGGGATGGTTCAAAGGTTACAAATTCCGTACAACCCGATCACCCCCTCCCCCTCGCTCTTCACTCCTCCCACTGCCCCTATTGTCACCGGAACCAGAATCGAAATCCTCCCTCAACCCTTCCGTCTGCCTGGATACTCTCGGAGATGGTATACACGTGCCCCGTAACCCCCGATCGGTCGAATTTCGGTCCAGCCGCCCTACAAAATCTTGACTATTAAGACATTCGATATTGCGCACAGTGTGAGCAACTTTTAGACAGAAAAATGAAAACGAGAGAAACAATTATTAGCTACGCCACACAGAATCATATACACAGACTCAGATATGAAGCACGAAAGTTAGATTAGATGAACATTTTTTGTGATCGCGTGTCCTGTCCGCTGACCGGGTCACTAAAAGGCGGGTCCTATGTAAAACAATGAAAACTCCCATAGAGACGAGCCCGTCGATGAATATAGGGAATATGACGTAAGAGGCTGTCTTATCGCGCCACGAAGAAAAGACAAATCAACGAAGGGAGATATCAAATGAAAGACGGTGTAGATAAGAGAATTTGTACGGACATAGAGATGGAGTCATTCTCAATCTTGTACTAAACATTTTCACCCCCCCCCGCCCCCTCCTATTTCTCTTTGACTATTTTTTTCTCTTGTCTTTACCTCCCGCTATACCATCAACCCTCCCTCTCTCTCTCTTTCCTCACTCCATCTGTCTTTATCCCGATCGGTTTTTCAGGCCTTTCGCATCCCATCCAGCCATCCATCCAGGCACCCAGGTATTCAGAGCCGACACCCCATCGGCCCTCGCACTCTCCATCGGAGCGTTACTATTCCTCTTTGAAAGTGGAACATCCGCGTTTGTTCCTCAAAAATGAAACTGTCTCATCTACGGGAGCGTATCAATGGAAAAACCATGAGTTTTCCGGTAAACGGTATCAAAAGGAGCGAGCAGACGTCTTTGTTAATCAAAAGTATAAAGGGAACGAGTGAACGACTGATAAACAGGCAGAGAGACAGACTGACGGACGGACGGACTGACGGAACGACTATGAATGAGAATGAGAGATGGGGATGAAAAAAAAAAAAAAAAGACATTCAAAGAGTGAAAGTACGAGTGAAAGGGTGAAAGAGAAAAGTCAAAGAGTTATATCGTGCTTTAAGCGAATCAAAAGCTTTTTCTTTTTTTGTTTGAAAATCAAAAACCGAAGGAGAGAGTGATCAATGTAATTTTTTGGAAATTTCGAAAACCGGCGACAACCAGTCTTGTCGCATCAATCGCGTAACAGTGTTTTCGAGAAAGGGGTTGGAGGGCAGAGATCGAGCGAATCACACAGATCGCGA